TTAACTGCTCAGCGCTTTCCTTCCTTCCTGTGGGACGGGTCGAGCTGGGGCCACATTCGCCAGCGAGCGCCGCAGTGCAGGGGTGCCTTGGGAGGGCTTCAGGGACTCGCTGGGGTCATGGTGCTGAGGAACGGCCAGGCAGGAGCCTGGAGGGTGACCTGGAGGGTCCTCCCATGGGGGCCGCAGGGGAAGCCTGGGCTTGGTGATGGGCGCAGCGTGAAGTCACGGGGAGCTAGGCTGAGCCCACGACCGCGCCTGTGGGCAAGACGGCTGCCGCCCGCATGGCCCCTCCTTCCGCCCAGGGGCCCAGGTGGGGGAGGCTATCCTGGCGCTGGGCGCCTGCAGTGGGCAGAAGCCCTGCAGGATGGGCTGGGGCTGCTGTGCAGGGCTCGGGGACCCCCGGCTGCACCACTGGCAAGGGGTGACCTGAGGCCCGGATGACGTCAGCAGGCCTGGCACGGCCTCGCTGCCTATGGAAGCTCCTCAGGAGGGTGGGGCCGGGGGCCGGGGGCCGGGGGCTGAGAGACCCCCTCTCCACGCACCCGCCCGGGCAGGGAGCCTTGGGGGCCACCCACCTGCTGCCCTGACCACCCCGAGGACGCTGTGGGCTCCGGCTACAAGTGCGTCCTCAGGCCCAGGGCCTAGCAGCCACGGTGAGGGACACGCACCCTCCCCGCCCAGCCTCCGGAAGTTGTCAACCAGCCTAATGGAGACAGCTTCCCAGCTCGACAGAACCAGGCAGGTTCCGGAAAGACCCTCAGGCCCTCAGGAGAGGCGTGACCCAGGAGTACACCTCTGCCCACCCCCCACAAGGCACCGAGGCCCCTGGGGGACAGCCCAGGGGGGACAGGGCTCAGAGCAGTTCTGTGGGGGACTGCCAGGTCATGTGTCTGGAGCTGGGGGAGGGCCCAGCCAGAGCCTCAGGACCTGGGGACAGCACCAGGACTCCTCCCGTGAGTCACTGCTGCAGTGGCCCAGGCCCACCAGGGGTGGCAGCTCAGGCTGCTCTGAGATGTGGCCCAGGCCCACCAGGGGTGGCAGCTCAGGCTGCTCTGAGATGTGGCCCACTTCTTCCATTTCCATTTTTCTGGTAGAGGGCACTTGAGCACCAGAGAGAGAGAAAGCGTGAACACGCCCCTCCATGGGGATGGCCAGGCTGCAGTCCCCTCTCCGTTTGTCCGTCCTCTCCGGATTCTGGGCACGCAGGTAC